CCCTGCTGAGCAGGGCTTTTAATGTGTATTAATTGCTTTAATGAGCAAACAGTGCGGGGCTCTCTGTTGTTTCTTGCCCTGGCTATGGCGCTAAGTGCAGGGATGCGCTGGGTGGTGACTGGTTACCGGCAGGGATGGGAAAAAAACCAGTCCTGGGGCTGTGGAAGCTGGAAGCTGCCCTGCTGTGACCGAGCAGCCCCGGTCCCAGTGATAGTCTGAGCCCAGCGCCTTCAGGAAGCTCAAGGTCCAACAGTGCTGGTCGAAAAGCACCTCTGTGTGGTTTTGGTTTCAGTTAAGACTGTGGCTTTTTATCTTGGCTCAAGAATTGTACGAGTTGGCATTTATACAGTACTTGAATAATGAGTAAAGTTGTTCATCAGACAGCAAGGAACCTGCTTCTGGCTTACGAAAAAAGTGTTGGTAAGTTATCTTGAAAAAGAACTATCCTAATAATAGGTTGGTATTTCTACTGATAAGGCTTGGCAGGAACATGAGGCATGTGGATAACAAGCAAGGCAAGTCTAGCAATGAGTGCCTGCTGGTCAGCGAGACCTGACTCATGTTTGAGGAGCCTTGCTCTGGTTTTAGTGTTTTCCTCTTGCCCCTCCAGGCAGCAATAAAGTAGTTAAGGAGCTTGGCTGTATCCTGGCACAGGATCTTTAGGATGAGCTTGTTGATGGGTTCCTGTCCTGCTGAGAACAGTTCAGAGCCAACTGTTGTCAACACCGAGGTGGCGTGTGACTGACACAACCACTGCCTGATAGTTCTGTGCTGCCACGGGGTGTTCGAGCTGTCTGCCTACAACAGGGAAGCTCACCCAGCTGCCAGCCTCATAGTATCTCTATGAAAGGCAATCTTAAGTGGGTCTTAAGTATCTGTGACATGAGCCACACTTCAGCCTTTTTCCAGTGATGACAATACTCAGCTGTTTTATCTTTTTTCAGCAAAGAATTGAAATACATAAGCTGCGCCAAGGTGACAATCTGATTCTGGGATTCAGCATTGGAGGTGGCATTGACCAGGATCCCACTCAGAATCCTTTCTCTGAAGACAAGACTGACAAGGTCAGACACTCCTTGTTTTCTGTAGCAGCAACCTCTGCAAAAGGCTGAGCACATCCAGCTCGGCCAGCCAGCACGACTCCCCTGTGTCAGTATTCTGTCCTCCCACATAGCTGACTGCTAAAGTTACTCTGTCGTCACATTATAATTTGCAGGCTAAACTTAGTTTAAGTTAGCTCCCCACCTTTTCAATTTTCCAGCATTGCACAAACCCATTTATAACTGGAATCTCATGATATAGTACAAAGTATTTTTGCACTGAATGGCCCTGGAGTATTTAATGCTCCCATATTTAGTAAATGAACACTTATTTTTTTCTTTTCCTCAGGGTATTTATGTAACAAGGGTGACAGAAGGAGGCCCAGCAGAAGTTGCAGGACTTCAAATTGGAGATAAGATCATGCAGGTAAATGCCGAGAAAAGACGAGTACTGATGGAGTACTAGGTGCATGCTGCAGAGAAGCTTCTGCTGGGGGAAATACTGTCATCTGGGTATTTTCCAGGACAGTCTGTGGGGCTTATAAACAAACTGAGCCATGGCATAAGCATTACCTACTACATAGTTCTGATAAAACAGTTCTAGGACACCTATGAGTCCAAGTACCTGCCTCATTGTATGTTTTATCTTTCCCTAGGTGAATGGCTGGGATATGACAATGGTGACCCATGACCAAGCAAGGAAGAGGCTGACAAAAAGGAATGAAGAAGTGGTGCGGCTGCTGGTGACCAGGCAATCTCTGCAGAAGGCTGTGCAACAATCCATGATGTCCTAATCAATTGTCAAGTTGGGGAAGGGTTGGGGAGGGAGATATATAGACTGGTATGAAGCAAGGAAGCAAATACTAGACCTGAACAGGTTGTCTGGAAGGAGTGCATGTTCCTAACTGTGGTAAACACTTTTTTTTTTCTCCTTTCTCTGGTGTAACTGGCAGTAGTAAAACTCTATTCCCCTCCTCCAGCAAAAATGCTTCTCTAAAGTCTTCCCTGCAGGTACATGGTAAGACTTTATTGTAGTCATGGCCCTCAGGAGGACAGGACAAACCCTAGTTATCTAAGGAAGCAACTGGAAAAGCCTTAACTTTGACAGGATTCTTTTGTAGCACCAAAGCCTTCCTATTTTAAGAGGAAACAAGGTTTCTGCTTTGAAAGATAAGGGGGTTTGCTGTGCTTAAGCTTTTAGAAGCAAGCTGTCCTGTCCTCCCATGCTATCAAGTTAAAATGCCAGAATTAAGAGTTGCTATCTGCTGTGGGGAGGAGCACTGTACTAATCTCACGTTGTGTGCTAGCTAGACAGAGCATGCTGAAGGGTTTGGGGCATTACGGTTTGCTGCGGATTCCCTGTACAAAGCAGCCTCTTCAGACGAGGAACAAACAGTAACTAAGTATGAAGTTCATAGTCACTACAGTACAACATCACTGTCAGAGTAAAATCTTAATTCTCCTTGTCATCAAGTAATTTGTAACATTAAATTAATCAACTTTAAATGACAGGAACATGGAGCAGGTAAAGAAAACACTGCTGCTGAACTTACCAAAAGAGCTGCTTGTAGCTGTGGGGTCTTCAGTTCTTCATTCCACTTCTATCAGACTTGAAGCAGGAGGGGTGGATTTTGGTCTGTTTTCTGGAAGAATTTGCTTAAATCACTGATTTATTGGATGGAAGAGATGAATATGCCAGTAATTTCCAAAAGTGCCTCTTGACCAAACTTAAGTTCTGGTAAGACACTGAGTTTAAATCAACATGCCACAGGATTTAAGATTCTTGCTGCAACACTAAGTTAATTATCTAGCATCCTTGTGGTTTGTTAACCAGCTAGCTTTACAATTATCCAAAAACTGGAGTTTTTAATCCCCTTCAGTTGATTTATACATATCTATACTTTCCTTAAGCAGTCTTCAGGTAAGCTGTTGTAAATAGAACATGAGGAGGTGGCAGACTAACTTATTCAGTACATTACTGCTGTGCCATGTACGTATGTTGCGATTAATGCATCTCAGACTGTTCTGTGTGCACCAGCAGATGCCTATGTACCATTTTTATATCTATGGAATTACTACAATACTGCTTTTGCATTTTGTAACTTAAGAATTCAGTGGTAAATTTTAAGGCTTTCGAGTTGAAGTTATTTTTGTTACTATAAAGATACACTGCTATTTGTACTGCTATTTCACTTGATTTTACACACAATAAAACAAACTGATTTGCTGAGCTGTTTCTCCTTACATTTAAGAGTGCTGTATCACTTGAATGGCTCAGGCTGACACATCTTTTTCTGGCTTGAAATGGATTGTGGATGATACCAACACAGTGTAGTCTGAGGTTAGTAAGGCCTGATTGCACTGGAGGGGATTTGCAGTGTTGGTACATCGTCGAACCTCACCTGGTCTCTAGCAAGGGGTCAAGGCCTTCTTGCTTTCCTTAGGCTGACACCTATTAAAACAAACTTTTGAGCATTCAAGTATTGTTCAAGTACAAGTGCAGGGATTCTCCTCCAGTTCTATTAAAGGGTATAATGCTCTCCTTCAAGTAACTCAAGACCTTAATCTCTACCTAGAACATACCATGTGTAGTTAAAGTTGCCCAGGAACAAAAACAATTACAGGGCTGTTAATTAACATGATCCACTTAGAAGTAATCTCTTCAACAAATCTTTAATCTTTCCCATCCACCATTTAGGATTCCAGTCATGTCAGTAGAACTGAGCAAAATGAAGTTAGTACACCCGAGATACTCAGATAAATCTGAGTACTTAACACCTTTGAAAGAGCTTTCAGTGAAGAAAAAATAGTTTCTACTGCTTCTTAGTATTTTTTAATAAAGAGTTCAGATTCTGATATTTGTGTATTTGCTACCACCCTCATTACTCTTATGTACCACTACAGCTGCTAACAGCCAACCTGAGCGGTGTTCTTCTGTGATCTGTCTGTGAGGAGGCGGCAGCAGCAGTTAGATCCACAGTCAGTCTTCAGTCATTACATTAAGATATTAAGTGGTTGCTTAAATGTGATCTCAGGATTTTTGGAAGCCAGAATTCTGCTCATTGTGTTTCACTTCCAATCAAAAAGACGTCGCTCTGATCTTTCTCTTTACTGTTGTTAGTGGGAAAAGAGCCATGTGTTGCTTGGACAGCTCACACTAAGCTGGCTCTGCAGCTTCAACAGGCATGAGTGGTGGCTCGATAGCTTGCTGTCCTTTAAGGCATCTGGCAATCAGCATTTGACAAGGCAATGGTTTGTACTCCATACCAGAGAGGATCAAAGTTAAACCAAGATCAGAATCAGTATTTCTGGTAACCGGCAGTAGGCATCTTGAAAACCCTCAGCCAGAGCAGGGGCAAGTTCAATTTACAGTTTTTGTCTTCACGAGATGTTATTCACACTGTTCATACCCCCATCTCCTATAAAGGCAATAGTGCTGGACCATAAAAACAATATCAAAGATGATGGAGAAGACACCCAGGCCAAACTTGGTTGGATCTCCAAAGATTAACTTCCACTGATCTGTCAAACACAAAATCAGAAAGTTAATCTTAAACTCCTCAGGTGTAGTCTTGTCTCAAGACTACAAGGTCATGCCATACATATTAGAGAAGTTCACGTTTATTACCTGGAGTGCTTAGACACACCTTAAGACTGTACATGTTATGCAAAGCTAATTAGTAACTGTTCCTGTGGCTTCTTCAGAATAGCTATTTCATTTTCTATCTTGAAGGAATATGAACAGATTCTTTATTCTTAGTATACAACAGCTGCCCATACTATAGCACAAACATTCTCCCAAGATAACCTGCCAGTTTATATCTGCTTTGTAGCAGAATTAACAGAGTGCCTCACAGAATCACAGAATCGCTCGGTTGGAAAAGCCCTCTGAGATCATCACGTCCAACCGTTCCTGTCTACCCCCTAAACCATATCCCTAAGTACCTCGTCTACCCGCTCTTTAAACACATCCAGGGATGGTGACTCCACCACCTCCCTGGGCAGCCTGTTCCAGCTTCTGACGACCCTCTCAGGAAAGAACTTCCTCCTTATCTCTGACCTGAACCTCCCTTGGCACAGCTTGGTGCCGTTTCCCCTTGTTCTATCCCCCATCACCTGGGAGAAGAGACCAGCACCCACCTCTCTACAACCTCCCTTGAGGCAGTTGTAGGTGGTGATGAGGTCTCCCCTCAGCCTTCTCTTCTCCAGGCTAAACAACCCTCAGCCGCTCCTCATAAGGCCTCACAGGCCAAGATGCCATTATTAAAAACAGTGTGACCAGCAGGTCCAGGGAGTTGATCATCCCCCTGTACTCGGCACTGGTGAGGCCGCACCTCGAGTACTGTGTTCAGTTCTGGGCCCCTCACTATAAGAAGGATGTTGAGATTCTAAAGCGTGTTCAGAGAAGAGCCACAAGGATGGTGAGGGCTCTGGAGAACAAGCCTTATTCTCCTACCCCGTTAAGAAAGGCCCCACCTCCTCAGTTCCAGCCTTACCATTGTTGTATGACTGCAAAAACATCTGGAGAAGGCTGAAGCTTCCACCAGTGAAGTCAAGTAATACATTTCCAATACTCCATCCCTCAGTACTCTTCCGACGGAAATTCATGTATGCCTGAGTGTAACAAGAAGTCAGTCAGCAATTCATGTACAAGCATTTCTGAGATTAATATTAAATAAGCCACCTGCATAATTACTGTTTTTGTTGCTAAAAGACTTAAGTAATCATTGCTGCTTAGTCTAGTCAAACTTTCAAGAGTATACACTACGGACTTAGAGTGATATAGTATAAAAGCAGGAAAGTTCAGATTTACCTGTGGAAAATATTTTATCAAGGTGACTGCTAATTTAATGTAAGAGAAGCAGAATAAGAACTGTAGCCATGTCATTTCCTCAGCTGCAGCAAGAAACAGTGTTGTAAATGTGAAGATCCATGCAAGTGCCAGTAGTCCAACAACAACTTTGGATACTTTCTGATCTGCTCTCTGAAACAGAAATGCAGATACACTTAGACTGACGTAGGTCATACCTCCCCAGACACACCATAAGATGTGGTATGTGCTCAGGACTGTGCTAGGTTACAGTCCACAACTGCTGTTGTACCAGTTAGGCTCACACAAGGGGATTTTAAAATTAAATGAGTGCTACAGCAACCAGCTGTAAGTTTGCAAGAGCTGATGAGCAATATTCAGTATCAATCATTTGGAACTCTGTTGCCCATGAGCAAGTGGGAAATGATATTTTATTCTTGAGCACCTGTGATGTCTGTTACCAGTGCCACATCTGTAACAATCTCCAGAGTTCAGCCTGACTGATACCAAGAGTTCCTATACATGCAAAATGCTGCTAATGCCATTATGGTAAAGGATTCACGGTTGCTTTCTAAATCTTCACTTGGAAAGACTTTCCTCTAGCAGTGGTGACAAATGGGCTGATGAAGTTCTACATTTAACATCACCAAAAGGAGCACCCCAAGAGAAAAACAGTTACCACCTAGAGAAAACTGGCTGTTCTGATCAGGTGCTTTAAGAATGGAAATTAAATAAAGAACCACCTGACTATAACAATCAGTCTCACCTGAAAAGGGGTGGGAATTATAAAAGGGCCTTTGCAGCTGTTTTAGGAGAAAATAAGTTGAAAAAAGCTGAAAGCTTGAATTGTAGGGAATCTTTAAGGGTCTGTCCTAGCTTGAAGGATGCTCCAAGTAGTGAGGAAACAGGAAAGCACATAACAGGATTTGTACTGTGTAGAGCTGTAATCTATGCACTGGCATTGGGAACTTTATGAACTTGGCTGTTTGTCTTATTTGAGTCCTTAAGGAGTTTACTTATAAGCTCAAAACATCCATGAGGATGAAGTAGCTAAGCTTTCTGGAGCTGCTACTAGCTCAGGAAAGATAGAGGCAGCTGGATGGTGAAGCCTGACTTCTAGAAAGGCCAAGAAAGTGCAATGAAGAGGACTTTGGAAGCCTAAAG